AATCTCGAATATGGACTCAATCTTTTCAAACCATTGAGTCAGAGCAATAACACCTCCTTTGCCGTCGAAAGATGTGGGTTTTGCGTTCATGAAGTCCTTATAGGAACACTCCTTTTGGTGTCCCTGATCACTTTCTTGCACACCACTTCCCTGACCACCAGATCCACCGGAATTTATTTGCGACATGGCAGCAGCCACTGCAGCAGTAACAGCTGCCTGAAACATGACATGATCAAATTGGGGAGGAGGCGGTGGTGGAGGAGTGTCGTTGGTTCTCCTGGTAGATCTCCTTCGGGGAGGCATCTTGATCTGAAATGACCAAGAAACAGGAGGATGGAATTTAGAGATATGAAACAAGGATATATCTCATAATAATTTTTAGAGTGTTCTACTAAGCGATAGGACAGGAAAATTTACTTAAGGTAAGTAAACTATCGCTAAGGGAGGAATGAGTAGTAACACTTTGGAACGGATTTCCATGAGGTATTTGGTTCGGACTAAAATACTCCCATAGTATTTTATGTTGAATGGATATTGGGTAAGTTATAGGCCTGCTGTACACCACAGTCACTCCCAAGCACATGTTGGCCGTGTCTCGAATGAATATAGTTGATCAGGCTATATTGACCCTAGACATGACTACATAACTGCCCAGGTTTAACCACAGTGCACAACCCCCATATTACTTATGCTTTGTTCTCTTCGCGATACGGATTTCGGTACTCGAGAATACTTGTATACTTTTATAAAAATACTTATACTTTAAAAGCATACTTTTAGTTTAGAGCTCTTAGGCCCCTTAGTGTTTATAGTTGTATACCATGTAAGGTTCGGTATACTTAGTTCACTATAAACAAGGGCTCTGATACCAATCTGTCACACCCCGAAACCGATGGCGGAAACGTTCCGGGGCGGATGTGACGTCATGTAGAGTATCACAACCAATGTACATAGCAAGAATAGTAAACACAACCATTACATTACATAAGAAAGTTTTACATTTGTTTGAAATTAAAGTACTACAAGTTTTCTTAGATACATAGGTTAGAACAAAAGTAAAGACGAGTCTTCTATGTGCTCCGTCTTCTTCAAAAGGTTAGCAGGAGTACCTGTCTATGGATGCCCTGAGAATACAAGCAGTTTTAAAATATCAGCATAAAGCTGGTGAGTTCATAAGCGGTTTGTTTTCTTATGAAAAATGTTCGTTTCCTTTAGTTTCATAAAAGTTGATATCCAAGAAAATCCCGTATTTTCTTATAAAAGTAGTTTGGTTATCCCTTTTGTTACACAGTTTGAATCAAGAAAATCCTGCAAATTTCCTTATGAAAATATGATTTGATTTCTCGTTAGATGTACCATACAACCTTGTTTATGAAAAGTTTCGTTATCCCAAGAAAACCCTATGTTTTCTTATGTAAAGCATTCGTTGGTTATCGATTCTGAAATGATGTGTACAAGTACCTACCATACTTGTATCGTTTGAGTGAAACATACTGAATGACTAGTATCCCGTAGTAAGCATATTAGTTTTGACACGTACACAAAACTAATAAGTAAGTAGTGAACTGGTAGTAATCAAAGACAGTTATTACTAGATGGTTAGTTCACTAGGTTCGTTATTACTTTGTCAGTAAAATTCCATTATCTAAGTTGCGAGTTCCATAACCATACGATAGACTAGACATGGCAATAAGTGGTCCATCGTCATTTTATGACTTTTGTCACCCATGGACCTGACGATCCAACTGTAGCTAGCAGCAGGGTGCGGGGTAGTCAGTCCCGTATAGATCTATACACTCAAGTCACGCTCTCCCTCCAAGAGATTCTGGTTACGGGAGTAGTCCTCCACTCTCGTATCCGTTGTGGAGTGTTACCGAGGACGTGTCTCCAATCATAGGAATAATGAACTTTACAAGTAATAGTATAGAAAATCCCGTTTTATGAAATGTCATGAAATCCTTGTGAAATGTAAAAATGTAACATTTTATAATGAGTTCCACAAATGGTTTTGAAAACTAACTCCATGAGTTAGACAGTTGGTTAAAACGGATTTTCAATGTTTAAAACATATTGAACATGTAGTATTGTTGTACGAATAAGTCGATTTGAGCACAAGTTTCCTTGTACTTTTGCTTGTATTCCCCCCCTGAAAACATGAAAAACATAGAAAATGGTGTAGGGGTATGAACTCACCTGACGAGAATGTGCTGATTTAGATGCTAAGTATTCAGTTTAGGGCTTGAACACGCGTGAGGTTCCTAGGTAACATGAAGAGATACATAATTGTATCTAATTAGACTTTGATTTACCAAGATAGTAGGACAATACACTCCGAGGCACGAAAAACACTTCAATTCAAGTGTTAGGGATGGTACGGGTTGCATCTAAGGAGTGTAGGACCTAGATATGGTGTTTACTCTTCAAGTGCAAACCCTTAGGGGAGTTTACGGTTTAAAGACCATATTCCCCATGCGTTTACGGCCGTAAACTCATGGGTGTGGTGGTTTGAGTGATCCAAGGTCTCATCTTGCACAAAGGAAAGATCTAGAGTTGATTCGAGGGCTTAGGAAATGATCGGGACATGAAATGGCCTAGGAAATAGGGTTTACGGTCATTGGACCACCTTTGTGGAGTTTACGGTCGTAAAATCAAGGGTTTACGGTCATTGGACCACCTTTGTGGAGTTTACGGTCGTAAACTCAAGGGTTTACGGTCGTAAACCCACCTTCGGGAGTTTACGGTCGTAAACACATGGGTTTACGGCCGTAAACCCATCCTTGTCCATGTTTGTCCATTTTCCAAGTGTTTTGGTGGTTTGTAGGCCATTCATGCAAGCTCTAGACTCGTATCCATGCCATGCAAGGTGTTTGGAGCATTAAAACACCTTTGGAAGGTGTTTACGGTTTTGGGAGACGTTCCCAAACCGTAAACTCAAGTTTATGCTCATTTGGACATGTTTTAGGGTTCTAAGATCATCCAAGCAAGTTTCAAGGCCATTAGACGTGCATTGGAAGGGTTAAGGAGCATCAAAACCCCTTGAAAGGGTGTTTACGGTTCTTGAATATTCAAGGACCGTAAACTCATGTTCATGGCCAAAACTTCATGATCTTGTGGTTCTAACTCCATGCATGTAAGGATCTAAGCACTAGAAGAGGTTTGGAAGGGTCTTGGGGCTTCAAAACCCCCATTGAAGGAGTTTACGGTTTTGGGAGGCTCCCCCAAACCGTAAACACGAGTTCTTGATGATTTTGAGAGCTTAACACATGGATTTGCATGCATGTTAGGATAAACAACTAGTTAGGAAGGATCACTTACCAAATTGGAGCTTGAAAGTGAAGAACCTTGAGAGAAATCCAATTTTAGAGAGAGAAAGTAGAGAGAGAAAGTTCAAGTGTGGGAAAAGCTCAAATGGTGGTCACTCCACTCTTTTGTATGACTAGATTTTGTGACCCGGTGGGAATACACTCAACACGGACATTAAACGGAGCTTAATATTTTACCCGGGTAAATAACCATTTCCCGCACTAGTCGTAGCCTAGAAATTCTTAAAAGATTATTTAGAGTGTTTTCACTCAAATAAATATTTCGCTCCGACACATACGAAATAAAAATAATAATTCTAAATGAATTATTTAATTTGAAAGTTAACGGAAAACCCAAATAAAATAAATTTTATTAACGGCATGGGTTATGTTAGCGGAATATCTTTCGGGTTGTCACATATCCACATCTACAAACACAAAATACACATACACATACACATCTAAAATATCAAAATTTCATCATGAACAATGGTGGTGGCGGTAAACTCCGGCGAGAACGGTGGGGGATCTCAAAATTCCGACAACCAACACAAATTTAGTAGGGAGAAGAGAAAAGGAAAAGAAAATAGGAAAAAATGGAAAGGAAGAAGGGTGAAATATAGAATAATTCGGTGAAGAAAGTGAAATATAGAAGAATTTCGATGAGATTGACAGTGGTGAGCAGAGAGAAGAGAGAAGAAACAGAAGATCAGGGAAGAAATTGAAGACGAATGAGATCTTATTGTCGACGCTCTTTAGCGGCGACGCCTTTAGCGGCGACACATCGGAGGGAAAACAATTCGGGGTTTCCTACGTCGTTGGATCATCGCTTAAATCGACGGATGGGGTTGAAATGACGCGGATCGTCAGAACAGGCAATAGCGGCGACGCCTTTAGCGGCGACGGATAGCCTTTAGCGGCGACAAACCGGAGGGAAAACCACGCGGGGTTTTCTACGTCCTCCTAGTCGTCGGATCATTGCCTAAATTGACGGTTAGGGGTGAAATGACGCGGATCGCCAACATAAGCCTTTAGCGGCGACGGACACTTTTAGCGGCGACAAAAACGCGTTTGTTTGATTTCGCCGCTAAAAGTGTCCGTCGCTGCTAAAAGTGTCGCCGCTATTGCCTATTATTCTTGTGAGTAGTGTTTTTTAAGATTTAAAATTGAATACTCGAAGTTTTTCAAGTTCATTGACAAGATTCCTGTAATTATTTAAAGACATCTCAGTGTTGGAATATCGCTAGCAAAAAGAAAGAGTAATAAGTGAGTAAAGATAAAGCGGAGAGCACGCAATGCATGCATGCAAGTACTATGGAATATATCAAACGGATCTTAGTGTTATGAAATGATATGTGATGTCCCTCAATTCCTTTATACTTTTAGTTGTTCTCTATTTTGGTGTGTTAGGTATAATATTAGTGCTGATTAGCGATTAGTTTCCAGGATTAATTAAATATAGAGTGGTGTACACGGGCTAAACTTTGTACTCTGTCTCCAATTCCCTGCTAGCTTTATTCTTTTCAATAAATGCTGCCATTAAAAAAAATTAAACAAATCGTATATATTAGTAATGCCCCTAATCTGTGTGGGAATATGTTTCGCTAAAAGAAAGTAAAAGGACAAAAGATAAAGCCGATACTAGTTGATGCACGCATCGAATATAATAATTAGCCCTATGTGCACTATATATAAACCATGAAGAAGCTCATCAACATGCAATTAACCCACACATATCTCTTCTCCATGCGAATGGCATTCCCATCAAACCCATCATCTTCTTCTTCTTCTTCTTCTGACGCCTCCTCATTATACCCAGATCCATTTCATGCAAATGTTTCTAACTTCGTTTCTGTGAAGCTTTCCAGTGAACGAAACTACCATCTATGGGAGAAGCAGATGGGGTGCCTCCTGAAGACTTACAATCTGCATGGGATTGTATGTGAACCAATTACCCCAGACCTCATTACCCGATTTGACGGACTTGTCAAGGGTTGGATTTTTCGTTCGATTAGTGAAGAGCTACTTGACAATGTTGTCGAACTTGAATCAGCTAAAGCAGTTTGGGACCAACTAAAATATATCTACTGTCCAACTATAATGACTCCTCAAAAACGTATTCGCTTGTTATTTGAAACTCAATATTGCAACATTCTAACAATCAAAATATGGACTTATAATTTTGGTACTCATGATAGCCTATTTCACATGCGTAGACTATTAAAATTACAATTTCCACATCATGAACAATTCGATGCATGTCGCATATATGCTTTTAATCACACTTGCATCATTGTTTATAAACAGACTATTACATAAAGCTTCTAGAACTTCGAGAGTGAGTAAAACAATTGCATAATATGCAAAAGTTGGATTGTGTAGTAATGCATGTAATGCACGTATTTTACTTGATTTGTTAGTCCGTAGGCATAATACTTCCTATAAGTTTTCTTTGTGAGTTTAAACCAAACTTGACTTTAACACCACAATGAATGCCTCTTTTGTCCAAAATAAATAGTGATGGTAACATCTTCTTTTCATTTAGTGAACACAATAAATAGCTACCGTAGCTTTGGTGGCGGTTTAGGTGTAAATAGAGGCTCCAACATCACTTCTAAATTCACTGGCGGACCTATGTGCTACCCCTCAAAATTTCACAAGTAATATAAAGTTTTGAAAAACAAAAATTGCAAGTAAAACTGTATAACTGTAGGGTACCCTTTTGTTTCTTCTTTCTTTTGAGTTGGGAATTAATATGATAAACCAACATACAAATAGTATAAAAGGTGTCTCACTTTTAAACATACATATGGCTCTTTATCTTCGGTGTAAAGATGATAACTGGTAGTAACTATTAAATTATATTCTTTAAATCATTATCCCTATTTAATTATTTTTGTCTTTTATCCTTTTATTTGCACCCACAAAACTTTTTAACCAATATTAATTGTTTTTACTTTAGTATTTTTTTAATGGTATATTTTTAATATGTAAGCCGTGCATTGTATTTTAATAAATTGATATCTATTTAGACCATAACACTAAGAAGAAAATAAATAGTTTGAGCTTGTAGTATTATCAATTATCTTTTAATAAAGTAAAATGATAATATATAATTTAAATTTGAGGACTATCAAATAAGTATGAATTTGTTATTTCTTAAAGTTAAAATAGAAAGTAAGTTAGATTTATCAGTGTATTTTTTATCTAAAAAATAAACAATATTTATATTCACAATATTTTACCCACATAAATATTTGTTATTCATTCATTCACAACATACTAATATAACATCCAAAACCGAAGTGTTTTCGGTTTTACTCATGAGTTTAAGAGGTTCATTTTTAGGTCTTATGTCGAAAAAAATATCGGTTAACCCGTAAACTTTTTTTTTTCTTGACCACTGGTTGTAATCTAACACAAAATTGTGAGTGTTAGATAAATGCTTAGGTCATCCATAATGTGAGTTGTATGATAGTTTAATGGAATAAATATGAATCTATATCTATATCTATCTATCTATATCTATATCTATGTCTATCTATATCTATATCTATATCTATATCTATATCTATCTATATCTATATCTATATCTATATCTATATCTTTATATTTTATAAAGCTAGCATTTTCCTTGAACCTCATGCATTTGAAACTCCCATGCATTTTTCCTTTCACCACATTCATTTGAAACTTTCATGAGTTTTCAATTTCTTTCTAATAATAATTATAAGTTGGTTAATAAGGTTAAATAAATATCAAACCTAAAGTGTAATTATATATAAACTAAATTCTAATATTAAAATAATATATTTACTTCTACTTATAAAGTTATGTTTTTAACCTTTAACATATTATACTTAATTTATTAGTTTTAATATATTGTTGGATATAAACGATTATCATTTTAAAGATACAATTTTGGAACAATTTGTATAAAATAGTTAAATTATTAATTTAAATATAACATTACAGGGTCAACTTAAATATAAATTTTAGTTTAACTTAAAAAACCTAAAAAATATTTTGTAAATAGTTAAAAGTGATAAATTGTAATGTATTTCTAATAATGATTATAAGTTGGTTAATAAGGTTAAATAATATCAAACCTAAAGTATAATCATAGATAAACTAAATTTCAATTTTAAAATAATATATTTACTTCTACTTATAAAGTTATGTCTTTAACTTTTAACATATTATACTTAATTTATTATATTTAAAATGTTGTTGTATGTAAATCATTATCAGTTTAAAGCTACAACTTTTGAACAGTTTAAACAAAATACTTAAATTGTTAATTTAAATATAACATTACAGTGTTAACTTAAATTTAAATTTCAGTTCCACTTAAAAAAACAAAAGAAGATTTTGTAAATAGTTAAAAGTGATAAATGCAAAAACTAAATTGTAATATCAATTTAACTAAAATATTTCCTAAAGATATTTTTATAATCATTAAAAGTTTTCAAATAAGTAGCTTAAAATAACTTACAATAACAATAGTTAAAAATAACTGTATATAAATGATTATATTGTTACCTTTAAAATCAAAAAACAATATTTGATGTTTTAAATAATTATAATGATAGAAATTAAAACATTAAGCAAATAAATTTTAAAAACTTTATTAACAATAACAATAACCATAAATAACATTAAACCATATATTATATTTAATTTTATTTTACGTGTATCTCGCGGGTAGAAGTCATTCAAACGATTGAGATAATACAATTATAATAGATGTATATATTATTATATAATTCAAAATAATCAATATTTTATATCAATTTAGTATACGAATTATTATATCAAATTTAACAACAACATTATTGTTATATTTTAAAAAAACATATATTTGTAAAGACTTCAACTATATACGTATTTCTGCGCAACGCGCGGGTATTCGCCTAGTATAATATAGAGGAGAGAGAGTGTAGAGTTGAATGACCATTGAATGGTGTAATGGAATTGTAATTGAAAATATATGAATTTTTTATGAATTAAAGTGAATGTTTAAATTCTCTTTCCTAGTTGGCAATCCATCCAACTCTCCAGGAGTTTAATCAATTTGAGATGGCCTTAGATTGAGTATTTGGGGTCTGTTTTTCTTTGTAAGAGTAGAGTGCAAGTGTTGTTCTTATTTTCTAGTTCCGAATAAAGAACCATTCAACCAAACAACATAGTCATTTAATTGAGATTTATAAACGGCACCCGTATTCATTTCAAAACCAAAATAAAAAGGAAATCGGAAACAAAAGATATAGATAAACGTTCAACTGATAGAGTAAGAGAAGAAATAGATATTGTTTCAGAAGAGACAACGACTGGAGATAGAGGCGTGGTTCCAACAGAAGCAGAAGGGTCGAGAATAAAAACAGAATTCAAGGGCAAAGTAGTAAATTATAAAAACAAGATAATGGAGGCTTTTGGGGGAAAATCAACAGAAAGAAAAGGTGAGCTATCAAAAACAGAACGCAACAGTAAGTTGTGTAAAGATATTGAGGAATGGAGATGGGATGATGTAGAATCCATGATAAAAAAAGACAAGCACGTGATCACAGAGCCAATCAACAGCGATGGCGACACTGTACTTCATATAATGGTTGCGATCGGTATCAATTATTTTGTCAATGAGATGTTATCATTAATCGAAGATGCAAAATCATTACCTGAAATGAAAAATAAAAATGGAAGCACAGCCCTTCACATTGCTGCAATGGTTGGCAATACACGTGCAGCAAAGCTCTTGATTAAAAAAAACAAAGATTTGCTGGAAACACAAGACCTTAAACTTCAAACACCTTTGCATAAAGCTTTTGAAAATATGCATCTTTCTACCGTTGAATACTTGTTGAAAGCAGCCAATGATGATGGAAAAACTAAGAAAACGTCTACCCCTTTAGATATAAGGAAAGGCATCAACCTTCTAGTTAATGCTGTTTCTGCAAAGAAGTATGGTGAGTAGCGTAGCCAAAATATATCACATAAATACAATGATCATAAGACTTGCTGATTTGAACATACATGCCTGCATGCAGATTTAGCAAAGGAGTTGATCAAAAACTATCCTGAATTTGCTGCAACAGACGATGATGTACTGATGGCAATAGCTAAGACCTTTCCAAGTGGGCTAGACTATTGGGAAACACTTATATATCCAAGTAAGTTTGTGATATCCAGGAGATATGTAGATATTTTAATTTGTTATTAGTTTTTAAGTTTCCCTTTCCTCCTAAGGATGCATGATTAAATATGGTTTTACTCTTTCAGGTCCTGAGTACAACTATAAGACCATAGTCAGGAGAGCTAAGCTCTTGTTTTATTTATTAGAAGGTTTCTGCAGAATCATATGGGTTACACCTAACAATATTACAAGTATTTTGCGACACGTAGCGTTCCTCATAAAAACCAGTGAGCTTTAGATCAACGATTATATATATATATATATATATATATATATATATATATTATATATATATATATATATCGATCGTATTTGTCTAATAAAAATTTGTGCTTTTGCAGTTCGATTAGGGGTACTCTCATGGATCTTAAACTTCATTCCCCTCCTCATAAGGATGGTTTATTTACCATTCTTTATGTTTTATTTTTCCTTGTGGAAGGTTTCAAAAACAATAAGTAAGAGGATATATGAAGTTGATTGAGATATAATTTAGGCAATAAATTTGATATGTTTTAAATAATTATTTTTTAACTTGCCGCAGTTGCACCCATTGGCAATATCGAGAAGAAATACAAGGAACCCCAAGAAGCAGAAGAAGTTCTAAAATTGGTATGTAATGAAATAAACAAGAAGAAGTTGGATTTCCCTGATGCTCATTCACGCTATTACACCAATCCATTTCTCGAAGCCGCACGTCAAAACGCTTATCAGGTTGTTAATGAGATTTTAAAGAGATCCCCTGAATCAATTCGGTATACAGATAAAAGCGGGTATGACATCATACAGTTATCCATAATACACCGTTCAGAAAAGATCTACGAGTTTATCTATGAACTTGGGAGGGCTAGGAAATTCTATAAAATGGTGGAAGATTCTTCTAAGAACAATATGTTACACTTGGTGAGAAGATTAGCTCCTTGGCATAAACTAAAGCTTCGCACTGGTGCAGCATTACAACTACAAAGAGAGCTTCAATGGCGTGAGGTACGCTTATCCTTGAATAATGAATTCTAGCTAGCTAGGGAATTATTGTCTTTGCTGTTAATTTATTGGTATATGTAATTAAACGAGTTGAATTAATTCCATAGAAAGTGAAGATGATGGTATCTCCGGCATACCATACTAAAGAAAACATTTTTAATGAGACACCGGATTTGGTATTCACAAACGAACACAAAAACTTGATGTCGGAAGCAGAAACGTGGATGAAAACCGTAGCAGAATCATGCAGCATCACTGCAGCGCTGATTACCACAATTGTATTTGCGGCAGCAATTACAGTACCAGGTGGAAACCATCAAGATAATGGCTTCCCCATGTTTGCAGGACAGATTCCCTTCATGATCTTTGGTGTATCGGTTGCAATCTCACTATTTGCATCGAGTACAGCATTACTAATGTTCCAGTCCATCCTCACTGGCCGATTTTCTGAGCAAGATTTTCTTGTAAGTTTGCCGAGACGATTGATTATTGGTCTTTGCACCTTAATGATATCAACAACTACCATGATGGTGGCCTTCAGCGCAACCTTGTTACTTGTATTTTGTCATGGAAAACGTTGGTTGCTTGCTCCGACATGTGCATTAGCTTTCCTCCCGATTGCATCTTTTATCACTGTTCAAATCCCCCTGATGGTAGATCTATTTCGGTCAACATATGGGCAGATCGAGTATATCTTTGAAAAGTATAACCTCGAAAACGGCATTACATTTAATTTGAATGACATCCGCCTGTTTTTTAGCTGAGTGATAATAAGTGCACATCTTGGAATCATGTACTTTACTGCAGTTTCTCCAAAGATATGTTGGGTAAAACAATCATAATTTGTTTCCTATGTCATTGTGAGAACAAGAACTACATTCCTGTTTGATATAAATAAGTATTGTCATATATTGAGTTTCCTATGTTATTCTGAGAACACGTCTCTTCACATCTTGAATTTGTTGTTGGGTCTATTTTTTTTTTCTTTTTTCATGTGCTAATGTGCTTCTATATACAAAGGATATTTGAGTATCCATGTGTGAACATTTTTTTTTCATTCAGTATATGTCTAGTTAAACCATTACATTTTACATTCAATATATATCTAATTATATCATTTAAGAAACTGCTAGAAAACTTGTTTTTATTTTTCCTAAGAAGATTTTGAGGAAAAAGTGGATCGAAAATCCAACCCAATATAACACTACGTGACTTTAGAAGTAGTTTAATTACTAGTTGCCGTTGGAGGGGAGCCTATCCCTTAATCTCTCTCTCTCATCGTGTGATTTGTTAGCCTTTTTTTAAGTTTTTTTTAATATTTATTCAACTATATACCTAATAAAAATTATAAAAAATATATATCAAAATTCACAATTTTGAATTCCGTACAAAATGGGTATATATTTGTATGAAATATATTAAAAAAAAAACAAAAACAAAAGTTAGTTACAGGTAATGAAAGGTGGTCATTTGGTGCATTTTGGTGAGTGAAAGAAGAATAAGAAGAAAGCTGGTGTAACACTCAAAAAATGAACGATCTTTCCATACATACCTTATGCTTTTATATGTTTAAAAAAATATAAATTCCCTTGGGAATTTGTTTGGAAATTACCAACCTTTTTCTCGACAAAAATAGTTCTAATAATAAATATTTACATAATTAATATTACTTTTATCATATAACTATTATTTTCTTCTGTTTAATCTTATTATATCTATTGTGATTGTATTCATAGTTTTCTTCTTATTTTTTTTTATTATTGTTCATTATTATTAGTATGTTTATGATTGATTATTATTCTTCTTATAGGTATTATACTTATATTCATTATCAACATTAAAATTATTTGTATTATTATCTTTATTATATTTTTGATTGTGTACATGTACGTATGTATATAGTATATATAACTTGATGAAGTAATTATATTTTATGTATAATAAACTTGTTAAAAAGATTGAACGAAAAATGATGTTTAAACCTCAAAGTAGCAAAGACTTAATTTCGTTCGTCAGTATCGACAACATTCTAACATGCATTCTAACATATTAGTGACATATTTGACGTTGGATGGGAATGCATTGAACTTTTTGACCATTTTCTGAGAAAACCTGGCTGAAAGCATATGGTACACCATCGGAACATGTGTGTGTGAATTATATATGTATTAAATGTGTATTTGTATATGTATTAGGGTTGAACATGGTTCTATTTTGGGGTAAAACTAAACGCAAACTGACAAGTAGAGCATTGTAACTAAAAGACCCCATCAATCTTAAACTTAGCTCTAATAGAACACCAAATGAAAGAAAAAAGAAATTATATCATCCAAAATAAGGCTTTTCTTTGGTTGATCCTTAACAAAAATGACCTTATTTATAAACTACCAAAGATACCACCAAGTAACAAAAAAACGCTCCTCCAAGAACTTCTTTAGCCTACTTCAGAAGTCTAACATTACTAAACCAACCCATCCAATCAACATATGACACAAAAGAATAAGGTTGTAACCCTCACCGGTTAAAATTTTAGCCAACACCGACTTTACAACCAAACACTTAATAACAAATGATTGGTTGATTCCATACCAACATCACAAAAAACATCACAAACATGACACAATATTGAAGGGATATCCAAACCTTTTAGGGACATATTTTCTCTCTTAGGCAAACTATCCATGAACATTTTCCAACAAAAAACTTCCACCTTATTAGGAACTAGTTTGACCCATCTTGTGGTAGTAGAGTTCGTTCTCAGAGTAACCAAATCCACCAAATTTCGAGCAAAAGAGGCAGAGTAAACTCATGAAGAATCAATGGGAGAACGTTGAAATGACTCCATCCAAGAAGGATTATGACACTTAGCCGCACATACACATCTTTTTTAATATCTAAAAGAAATAAACAAGGGAACTAGTTTTTAAGAAATAATTCCCCCAACCATACATCATACTAAAAGCGAGTATTATCACCATTACCAATAAGCTTTTTACAACTATCAAAAAGATTAATACCTTTAGCCAGTAAATAATAAGTAGCCTAAATAATATCAATCCAACCTGATTTCCGATGAGGAAGAATAACACGGTCTAAAAGAGCACTATCACCATGAATCGCTCTCACGAAACGAGCCCATAACAAAATCGGGTTAGATCTAAAATGCCACACCTATTTAAAGAGTAAGGATCTATTTAAAGCAAAGAAACTTCCAACTCCCAAACCACCTACCTACTTCGCAACTAGCACCTTATCCCATGCAATCCAAATAATCTTTTTGTCATCTTTATCTATACCATGGATAAAAGCACTCCTCAACTTTTCCAACATAGCAAGAACACATGTCGAAACTTTGAAAAACGACATATAGAAAGTAAGAATGGAACCTGATTTAGGCATTGTAAGGAGACCTCCCACCAAAAAAGAGTTATATTTCCATTAAGAGAGTCTTGCCATGATCTTCTGAACCACCAGATCCCAAGAATGAAGTATGGACATGCATGCTCCATTTATAGACCCAAGATACACAAATAGAGTTTTTAAAGCAACACAACCAACTGACGAGGCCACCAACTCGACTTCATAAAAAGGAACACAAAATCCAAAAATATGAGATTTTTGAACATTAATTTGTAGACCTGACGCCATAATAAACATTGTAAAATAGAAAAAATGTTTGAAAATTTTTGATTTTTCTATTTGCCTATAAAAATTGTCTCATGTGCATAAAAAAGATGGGAAATCCACAATAAAGAATCAACCTTGAGACCCACCTTGCTCCATATCCTAGGAGAACAGAATATGCAAGGACTCCATCACAAAAAAAGGAGAAAGGGGATCTCCTTGTCGTAACCCTTTAAAAAATTGAAACTCATTAGGAGGACTACCATTAACCAATACCGAACCTATAGAAGAAAATAAACAACCTCTAATCCAACCCCTCTACTTACAACCAAAACCAAACTTATCAAGCATATCATCTAGATAATCTCATCTCACCAAATCATACACCTTTTCAAAATCAACTATGAATATCATAGCCTTATTCTTCTTTAACTTATACCAAGATAAAATTGCATTCAGAATCAAAGGACCATTTTAAATTTGACGACTGGAAACAAAAGTTTACTGTTGTTCACTAACCAAATCACTAATCACCAAACTTAGACGGTTAGCTAAAATCATGGCTACAAATCTTATATCAACAACCTATTAAAATAATAGGTCAAAAGGCCTTGAGAGATTTAGCATTAGAAATTTTCAGAATTAGGACAATAAATAAGGGATTACAACCTCTCGAAAAAATTCAAGAATTAAAAAACTCTTGCACTACAGCTACTACCGAAGACTCCACCAAACTCCAATATCTTCTAAAAAATGTAAAACCATTAGGCCCAGGAGACGTATTCGAGCTACAATCCTAAACTGTCTGTTTAATTTAAACACTCATAAACTCACCTTCCAAAACTGAGAGATGCTCCAAGGAGATGGAAGAAGGAAAGACAAGATTAACCTGAATCATAAAGGAAGAAGGTGCAAAAAACGTTTCAGAAAAATGTGAAAAAATATTCTTTTGACCAAGTTAAGGACTTCATTCCGGTCACCATCAGAGAACACACCTCTAATCTTTCTTTGACTTCTCTTTTTATTAATAATATTATTAAAATATCTAGTATTTTCATCACCTTCTATCAACCACTGAACTTTAGCTCGCAGAGAAAAATCCATAGCCTCCATCTTTTGCAAATCAAGAAGAGCTTTTGAAAGAGAAGCTCTAGATTGTACCAAATCCTGATTACGCTCCCTTGTATCAATTTTTTATATATAACCTTTGTTATTAAAACTTCATTAAAAACATTACATATAACTTTTAACAAATATGATCATTAATCTCATCAATACAAATATTAGATATTATAAAAATTAATTAAATTAAAAAGTAAATATATAACTATTTAAGATGTCTATAAATAAGTAATAAACATATAACTCACATGCACTACAAGAAATCATGGTTTAGCGGCGACACAATTACCGGCGACATTGGGTTTTAGCGGCGACGCAACCATTTGTCGCCGCTAAAAGCTTGTGTCGCCGCTAATTGTGTCGTTGCTAAAGGTTTTTCACCCGAATCCACGTTATCCCCTTCTGATAGACCTCAGTCGTTCGATCGAGTATCTAATCCAACGGTTGGGGCCTCTTATCCGCACAAAACCAATACCGACGACATTGTATTGCTGCTAAAGGCCAAATATGCCGCTGTTAATTGTGGTATAAAAAAAAAGTGCGGTGGCCTTCCCTCCAGATAGTCACTGCTGTTAACATTAGTTTCCGGTAAATCCTTTATGGTTGCCGCTAAAAGCGTCGTCGCTAAAGGCGTGTGCAGATAAAAAAAAAACAATGCATTCTTCACTTTTCCTTCCTGTGTTCGATCAATGACGCATTCTGGTTCCTTCTTGCCCCATTTTCTGTGAGTTATCGTCGATTCCAACAAAAAATCTCCCTAACATGGTGAGATTAGGGATCAAAGGTCTTTAGGGCTTCAATTAAACGGGTTTAACTCATGAAAACAACAAATTACTAGCTCCATCTCGGGTAAAAAGGTAACTTCAAGTTTTTATATCTCTTTGTCTTTCTCTTTTAACATCGATTTCTAGCTCCATTTGATGATTAATTGCAAATTATTTTTCAATTTTAGTGTTTTTGGTCATTTTGTCTTTGGGTTTACCAAGGTTGCAGAAATCGCTCGACGGTAGCTCGACGGTAGACTAGGGTCAAACGATTAATCGGTTAGGCGAGGATTAATCGGGGACCATTAATTATTAAAAAAGTATTAAAAATTAATAAGTATAACGTTAATACTAAGAATAAAAGTATAAAAGTTAAAAAATAATAAATATGTAATACATATTTTATTTTTCTTTTCAGTTTGGATATTTCTTCTCTTAAGCATTTACTCAAACACTTGGCATGCTGTATTGATTCTCATGAATGTCACAAA